AAAAATGAAATCTACATGAATGAGGTTAAGACAAAACTAAATGAGTTCCGCTTGTTTCCGGAATCCATAGCAGTGTTATAAGTGAATATTGCGGGAAGCTATTATGGTATCACTGTTAGCACTACTCTGCTGCAGCTTCTGTAGAAAAGGAAAAAGTCTCATATTTGGAATGGCTCAAGTACAAAAGCAGACAGTATCGAAAGATTTAATTTGATAATTAGAATGCTTTGAAAGAAAGACAATACGCCCTGATATAAATGAGTTAGCTGCATTGAAATAGCTTATGACGGCTACTGAATGTTATGCTGTCTTTCGGTCACGGAAATCTAACGGATGAAGCAGGCTACGACGGATAAAAAGTAGGCGAAGGAGTTGTTCAGTCGAAGTGCTGTCACTGACCGGAAAAGAGAACAGAAAAGTGATGGAACCTTTTAATATCTTTTTGGATGATTCATTTAAAAATATGCTTTATCATTGGATTTTAGATGTTTAGACTATGTGTAAAACAAGCAGAAAAGAAATCCTGAAAATGAATCAAATCAGAAACGAGAGTTCCGTCACTTCGGAAGGAGCGAATACTTCTATAAAAAATAAGCGGTTGTTGGTACGGTCTTTATGTTGATTAAAGACGTTTAACTATTTAAAAAATGATGAAGGAAGATGCAAGAGCAATGAAAGATCCAATATAATTAACGAATAAGAACGCACTGTTGGGGACAGGATTAGGGACCAAGTTTAGCTGTTAACCGACTGACACTGAAGCCCGAACAGAGTGCTCAATGGCAGCATCAACTCTTCCGGTTACGTCCAGCTAGGCATGGTGGAGATGCTGAAGAGAGGAATGTGAAAGGACGCACGGTCGTTCTTACTTCAAAGAGTCATCGAGAAAAAGTAAGAAATCCTTGGCGATATAACTGGAAATGACAACGACCTTCCATTATTTTGGGAAGAACGATCTGATAAGGTGTTGGAGGAAAAGATCAAAATTAATGCTGACGAATTATGTCGCCATCGACTGAAAAGACTTGCAGTCTGGAAGAATCCATTGCGTCATTAAAGCGAGAAAAGACGAAAAAATTGCTACCTTAAAAAATTCTCAAGAATTGATATGTTTCCGAATTCACGACGCTGTGATTATAATATCACAGCTAATATCAATCATATAAGCTTGTACTTTAACATCCTAAACGATGAAATCTTCCAAAATTGTGGCCGTGCGACCGCAGATTCCGTGAATGTGAGGCACCGATTTTCTTCATTACTTTATGTTCTGCAAACTTCTGGTTGGCTTCCTTACATCTGGAAGGTTAGCTGCATGTTGTCATACGTAGCTTCGCAAAATTAACACGCAGTTTTGGTTTTTCCGAATTAGTTTAAACTTTAAAACAATGCTAACAATGCCAAAATCAATGGCGAAACGTTAAATCATTTCTGTGTTGTGTTTTACACTGAGAAAACTGTTGCATCAATAAAGTAATTTAAAAATAATGATATCGTCCCTCTTTCGACTTTGCTGAATTGTAGAAGTCGGAATCTCTCGAGGACTGGATCAGTTTTGGCCAATTCTAATAACATATAAAAAAAAGTCAAGTTCGAGAGTCGGAAGACAATGATCTGATTGTTGAGTGCCACAAAGATTCTTTCATTGCTTAGATTCAGTTCACCAGTACTGTACTGCAGTTGATCAGAATATATTTTCTTCAAAAAGGACAATGTGAGATGATCATCCGATTATTAAACAATTTGCAACGGTGTCCCGAGTTCGGCTACTTGGAAAGGAACAGAAACTCGAGAGTATACGATGTGCAGTGCGTGTGTTCCGTAAGCGTGGGTACGCACATGTATGCAATTAGCGTCAAATACTGCCTTTTAAGAGAAGCCAAGCAACATACTTAAACATTGAAATGCACGCTGTGAGTATTGAAGAGTTAAACTTAGACTGTGAGCTCTTTCTAGATCGCTGAGTGATGAGAATATGACAAGCAGATCAGTACAGATTCCACAATAATGAAAGCTTAGTAAATGCAAGTCAGAGATATTTCACTTTCAGCCATGTCAAAGGGAATGGGTTATCCGCATTCCAGATCGTTATGTATTTGATGGAGAAGTAGCTCGAAAGACAATGGAGCTCGGAGAAATGAACCTTGAAGTGGAACTAGAAGATGAAAACCAAGAATGTATACATCACTGATGTCCATCTGCAATTCATTCACCATTTTACGCTTATTAAAATTCATCCAACATTTAAATTTTTAATAAGCAGTATGTAACAGTGCTGACTGATGTGGGCAGCAAGTCTTTGTAGTA